AGATTCTGACGGTAGCGATGAGGTTGGTAAAGGAAGGAAGAGAACTGGTGAGTATCAATTCCTTTTGAGTATAACGTTATGTTACAATTGTTCTGGATATCTCGCTAATCCTGAATTCCTAGTCTTTTTGTAATGTTTCTGTTCACAAATGTTTTGCTTTTAGGAGCCAATTCTCAAAGTAGTGGCCGTAAACGAAGGCGCGGTGATGACGAAGATGGCGACTATGTGAACTATCGACCTGACGAATTGGCTTTCAATAAGAGCGAATATTTCAAGGTAAGTTGGCTCTTATATTCTTGATCTTGGTTGATCATTTTTGCCTTTCTGAAGCTCTGGTTCTATACGTTATAAATTGACACTGAGTTTTTCTGGAGAACTTGGGAATGTGGTCGCTGTGTTGAATTCAGTGCGGTTGTTTCAGGTTGAAAAAGTGCTTGCCTCATGGGGATGGGGGCGATGGGCCGAAATGAAGAAAAGCGGAGAGTTAGAGGTAAACATATCCACATAACAATTTTTATTTACTAAGATGAGTTGATCTAAGGTCTCTGAAATGGATATCGCTCATATGGCAAGAACGTTGCTGCTCCATTGTGTAAGGGAATACCGCGGAGATGAGAAGATTAGGCAAACCGTGTGGCAGATGATAGCGCCTCAAGGAGCGAAGAATGCTAAAGAGCCCAAAGGATCGCAGTCGATCTATCACCAGGTCATAGCTTTTACCTTCCCTTGACCCATTCCAAGTAGTTTTTTCTGATTTTCATACCCTTAAAAACGAATATATCACATCGAGAGGGTAATTTTAGGGATGGGCAGCACTACCTGAGTTCAATCCACCTAACTTCGCGCTGGATGCGTCATTCCAGCGTCATGTTCATCGACATGCCAACAAACTGCTTGTGAAAATCGATCAACTGAGACATCTACAGAAGGTACGGCGCTGTCATTTCGAAATGTTATGTGTCACATCTTCATAAAGTTCATTGGATTTAGACGATCATTGGTGCTAAAGCTACAGAAATCGAAGCAGGAGCAAACTGGTCATCAATTGACATAACTGTACCAACCCTAGTGGAGCCAATGTGTGATGGCTGGGATGCTGACTGTGACAAGTGCCTTCTTATTGGGATTTATAAACATGGTATGGATACATTTTGTTTGTCCATCTATAGCAACCAATGGATCTCAACCTAATTTGTAGGTCTGGATAACATCGAGACTATTCGAGGTGATGAAACA